TTTGGCGTAATATTGAACTTAATTTTTTTCCTTCAAGAACTACATTCTTCTTCACTTTTGAACATTTTAAAAAATATTATAGCTCTTCCTTCTGAAGCACAACATGAAAAATATTTGATTGTATAAGACAGTGTCAAGAGACAAGTGATTTTCTGCTATTATTTAACTGACATTAAGTTTCTTAATCCTACAAAATTACAGACGGAAATTTTTAAAAAGGACTTTTAAAATCTATTTCTAGTGTTAAAGATCAAAAAGCTTCATATAATTCTAAACAGGCTGAGTTTTTCACAATCTGGGATCTCATTCTAGATTTTGAAGTAGGATAATCTCCAGTAATATCTAAACAAACCTGTTAGCTTGATTTTCTGATTTCATCTAAACATTAATGATATTCTGTAGCATTAGCAAATGTACTTTTGACAATTTTCTAAGAGAATCTTAGACCATTTTCCCTTATTTGAAGATTTTTTTTCAAAGATTTTTATCTATACCAGTATCTGATCAAAGTATTCTTAAGTTAAGCATCATTGATTTCCTTTCATTTTCCTTTCCTCACAGAAATACCAGCTTCAGATTTTTGCTGGATTATGATAAACTGGAAATAGCTTAAAAGAACTAGAGAGATTTAATGGCTCTCCCAATGTCCCTTGTTGGCCAATTCATCTGTCAAGTTATTGCCAGTGAAGATCTGGAGTCAAATTCCTGTTTGCAGGTCTGGTTGATCCCTCTTGTTACTGCTGTTTGATGCGATGATTGTAGAATTCGAATCAAAGCCCTATTGAACCCTAGAGATCACTCCTGCAGTGATTCATCATTGCCAAAAGTAGGAATATGGTTTATTTCTTAAGAGTCACTGTAATCACGTTTGAGTACACATGCATGTGACACAACTATCAGAGAAAGAAAGAATACAGCTGGGAAATAACCATTCACCCTTTCTCGTTTCACTTCTTTGAGACAGCCTTGGGGCCAGTTACCTGCTAGGTAAAGCAGTACTCTGGAGTGCAGACCTGAGCTTCAGGTCAGTTTTGAATCCAGCCTGGTGATTTGTGTCATAAGCCACTTAGCTGGGTCTCGGTAGACCATGGCCTTCTGTCTTGGCTTTCACCAAAGAAATGGCAGGCAAGGTCAAACCTTCTGCTGTTTTGAAGGATTTGGAAGATTTCTGGATGCTATTGAGAAGTTATTTGATTTCAATTCAGAGTACTAGCTGGGGAAATTTCTAAATTGCTACATGCATGCACTTTCATGAAGATAGCTCTAGTGTTGGATAAGGCAGGAACAAATAGTGATTCTTTATGCTCACTGGTATACCAAAAAATCAAAAGTCCTGTCTGGAGGCCAACCAACTACATCCTCGGAGCAGAAACCAACCAGCCATAAATGAAAAAAATGTCTGGGCTTCACTGGACATGGAGGCTGTGTTCACTGTAACAGTTCAGCCTCGGTTTCCAGAATTATTAGAGGTCTTTGGATGCAGTGGTCAGTAGCAAACATCCTGCATACGGAGAAGTGGCCATTTCTTATATGCTTCACCTGCATCACTATTGTAACGTGGATTTCTGACCTTTGATATTGGACTCTGATGTTGCTACTCTGTTATGCAAAGTGCCAAAAGATTAGTCTCTGGTTAACTTAAGCCACAATTAAATTTTGTCTACCATCATAAGATAATTATAAGCTCAGCATGACACACGAAGAACTGTAGCTTCACAGACTAAGAAAACAGAGGAAAAGACATGCTGTGAAGGGGAAAAGCTGTTCGCATTAAAAGAGTAAAGATTAGAATTGAAAACTTAGAAAATCATTGGCAAAATAGATTTATTTTAGACACAACTCTTTCCCCACCTTTCCATCCACGTGAAAATCTTGTGCTTAATGTGTTAAAATTCCAGAGATCTGTAAGGTCTAGGAAGGAGTACAGCATGAGCTCAAAGCATACAGTGACAATTGTCTTCTGCTAAAACAGCAGAGCTTGTTAATCAGAGGTGGCTTAGGCACTACAAAGACATTTGTCCCCACACTGCTGTGACATGATGAGAATTGCCACACAGTACAAATACTTATTTAGCATCTGAACTACTGTTGTTTGAAGTGGAGGCATAAAGCTATTTTTATGTCATTAAATAACATGACTGAGGTACAATGAACTGTCTTGTGTGATGCAATATATAAAGAAATTTATACAGAACAAGAAGTAGTATTGAGCAAAATGTGCATTCAGCAATGTGGTGATGTAACTCCTATGTCATCTTTCTAAGTATTTACAGATTTTACTGTGTTTGGAACTGAGCAGCCTATATAATAGCAATATATTAATTTCTGCAGCCAAGTCCACTAGATTTGACTAGTGTTTGTTTTACAACCCAAGATGAATTAATATATGCACCTTTTTAATGCTTGCTGTCTGCACTTTAGTGGTAATGCATTGTAGCAGCAGTTTGAGGAAAAGTAAATTGAAGGCAAATGCAAAAACATTGAATTGCCAAAAGATTAATTGGATGAAAGCATTTTGAAAGTAAGAAAAAAACCCAAATGCATAAATTATTTAATATTATTTGTTGGTTTTTTTAAAGTTGTTCTATATGTCAGCATGTGATGGTTTGAGACACTGAATAAAAGTCTAAAAAATTATAGGAAAATTGTTCTGCTATGGCATTAAAATTGCCATTACATAGGGAGAGCCTAAAAGTTTCACAAATAGCAACATATGGGTTCAGCTCCAGGAGAAATTGTAAGAGAGAATTATTTTCCTTCCATCCACTTAATTAGACTTACACAGGATTTAATATAACCCAAAATCTCTTAATAGAAAGGAGGACTGAGATAGCCATGTAATCTGCCTGTCTGAGGATTTGTACTTGCACAGTGCCTTAGCTATGAGAAAAACAAGGAACTGAAACAATCTGCTTTTTTTTTTGTTTTTTCTGGACATCATCATCTCATGGGACAGGACCTGACTTTTTTACTTTCAGTAATTTCCAGTGCAGTGACAGTTTTTCTAAAGTATGTAGGTCTCGTCTGCATTTCAACTACATTTCATGTAAATTTTACATTAGGATGGCACTAGTTCTTTTAAAATAGTAATAGAACAAAGTCTCAATGAAGGTACTTCTACAGCAATGGTGAAAGCCAAAAAAAAACCCAAACTAAAAAATCCCCACCATCATTGTATGCTAAATATGTGCTGTATCAGCATGAATGAGTTGCTTCTAAAACTGGTAAAAAGGAATGCAGCATTCACAACTCCTATTACTCCTACTGCTCAGAAGCCAGTGGTTAGCTAAGTTTAGGACACGTTGTCCCAATTTGTACTTTCAGGGAGTCATATTTTTACTAATCCTTGAGAAGACAACAATAACTTGACTTCAAATATGAAATTAAATGCACCTCAAGAAAGACAGCCTTCTTAAATTGCACACCACAGGATGTCAAGCTAATGACAGAATTATAAGATCAACTTTGGTACTCCCAGGCTTCAGTACTTCCAGAATTTTTGGCAACAAATGCAAATAATCTGGAGGCAGACAACTTGGCAGTGCCATGGCCAGAAATCAAACGGGGTTAAGGCTGGACTGGCCTCTTACTGAATAGATGCAAAAGCACAATTTGGACAGGCACAAGGACACTTTTCTAGAATTTGATCTACTTATGAATGTCACTTGGCTTTATCTTCCTTCTGACTAGAAGGGTTTTTTTAACCACAGAATGTTATTCTGAATGAAGTGATAGTATCTGCAGGAGAAGATAAGCTATTGTCCTAAGGACTAATTGCACAGCTTGACTTTCTATTTTGTTAGAATAGATGAAAATTCCTCACAAAGGGGAACACAGGCTTAAAATTACTGGCAGATTTTTCTGCCTCATTTTTGAATAATAAAACAAAGCAGATCACAATCAAGATCTACTTGTAGATAATTTACTAGTCAAAAAAATTGTTCCTTCATAAGTTAAAATAAAAATGCACACACCAGAAAGAATTTTACTTGATGTGTTTATGACAACAGGATATCTGGTAAGTACTAAGCAAGAAAAAAACAATTACTTATATCTCCTTTTAAATATGTAGCTGCATGAAAACATGTGGTCCTTAAGCAAGCAGGTAAAAGATTGAAGTCATCCCTGCTTTGAGCAGGGAGTCAGACAAAATTATCTCCATCACTCTTTCCAACCTCAGTAGTCCTTGGATTCTACCAAATGCCCTCAAATAGTAAGGTTATGTAAAACTATTTCAGACTTAAAAGTCCATCTCAGGTCTAACATCAGAAATGGGCTCAGACTTTAGTGGATGGGGCCAATCTCCTCTCTGAGCACTGCAGTTTATCCTCATGCTCAGGTTGCCCCATCCTCAGGTTGACCCATCAGGCCCCAGCTGCCTGGTCCTCACTCTCCACCTAACCCAGTAACAGCACGTGGTTTTAGCTTGCTCCCATTTATCTGCAAGCACCAAGTGGATGTGCAGCCCCTAAACAGTCTGAGCCATAAAGTAACAGGATCCTGTGTGACAAATGAAGGCAGTCAGAATGAGGGCACAACAGGGAGCCTGTCCTCCCTCTTGCCCATTTCTGTCCAACTCAAATGCATCCCCGTGAACACAACAGCACTCTTCCATCTGCTGAGGGATCTGCTCTCATCTCCTGTTACCTTCCCTCTGCATACACATGTGCTTGCATGTGGACTGCACACTCCAGAAGGCAGGCACTGCTGGGTTCTAATCCCCCCAAATTCTCTGATGGATTAAACATCAAATCTCTAACCCTCCCTCTTAATGCTGTGGTAAGTAACGCACATGCTGGCTACATTGATTTACAGCTGAAATAAAAGTGAAAGACAGACAAAATGAGATGTCTGAAAATCGATCTGTGCTGCAAGTGGATAGAACATTAAAGCATTCTGGATTATTTTCTCCTCCCTTCACTTTGCCCAGTGCCTAATGAAGCAAAAATCACTGTCTGCAGCAATAAAAGTTGCAGGTACACCTGCCACCCTCCACCTACCTGTAACCCTTCAATGGCCAGTTTGAGGATAGATGGTGTCAGCTTGGAGGCTTGCTTGAAGGAGAAGTTGCTCCAGTCTATAATTAGAATGAAGCCATTTATCTGAAGCTCCTGATCTTCAATGAGTACTTCCAAGGAAAGCAGAATAGCCCGAAGGATATCTATGAAAGAGTTCCTAAAGCAAAAGCAGAAAAAAGAAATCAATGGTTGCAGTTATTTTCAAACCTCAAGATACTCAGTTTTGCTGTGGGTGGGGCATGAGTGAGGGACAGGGATTTATTCTGGTAGAATTATCCTGAAAAAGAGTTGTTTCAGAGGTGTCCTTAAAGAGCGCCTGCTCTAAAACTGCTTGGTGGGCTAAATCCTGCTCACTGATGGATAAAATAAACACTGAATGAGATCTCCTCAATTTTGCTAGCAGTCCTCACAATAGATTTTAGCTAAGCTGCATTGGGAAACTATTTGTCTATGATGAAATGAATCAAATTCATGCTATCAATTTAAATCCTTGCTCGTTTGGAAATATTTTAACAGTTTGCTTCCCTTCTTCTTACTAGTTTTTTGTTTCCCTTATTTTCAGAAAAGGAAATAAATCAGTACAATATTAATATAAAAATATTACAACTAGGTTCTGTGTCTTCCTGCTTGAGTGTAGGGAATGATCCAAGGCTTTACCCAATAAAGTTTGACATTGCCTTATTTTTGCAAACCAAATGCAATACGAAAAATGGCTGCATCCACTCAAAACGAGAACTCTTTATTATTTATCAGTAGTCCGGCCACAAGGCTTCCCTCAGCTGTGGGAGATTAATTAAAAACCTTGGAGGGCCTGAAGCATATAAGTAAAAGAGAAGAAAATGCTGAAATGTTTTCTTTACTGTGAAAGCCTGCACTGGGAAGCCTGGGTGCCTCTCCTGGTGAGCCTCTGCTCACTACTTCCATTTTCTCAATACTTCCACAAAAGTGGGACTTGGACACTTTAATGACTTGTCCATTATATATATATCCAGCTTATACCCAAGTAAGCTGAATTAGGTCCTCTCCTCACCTGTCCTTCTCATTAGATGATTTACAAACAATACATTCTATTAGAGAGAAACAAGCAAGGAAAGCTTCAGAAAGTGCAGCTTAAATTTGTGTAAGATGAAACTGTAATATACTGCTAGTGCAATCTGCTTTATTTCACCATAATTCTCAAGTTTTTATGAGGTCTGAGGTCTTTTACAGGGAAGGTTCATACCGTATTCTCCCATGGAGATATTAATTTAGTTATTTTCTGCTGTTTTAATTAATTTAAAACAAATCCACCCAAACCTTCAAGAGCATTGTTTCAAATTCTGCCTGATAGAAAAAACATATGTGCACTTAAAACAAAGTTCTCTACCATTGACCTGTACCCCTGAATGGCATCAGAACATGGTAAATTTTTATTAAAAGTAAATGGTGAAGTGTTCTCTTTCTTTTTTCTCTTAGCAGGTTTTGAGCGGAAATATATACATTCCTTCTCTAAAGACCTGATCTCTTGAAAAAGCTGCTTCTGCACTCTGCCTTTCTGCAAAAGTTAGAAGCTTCTCTGAAGTATAATGCTGGGGCAATAAATTGAGCTTGAAGATACCTAATATTGTTCTTGCTGCATACCAAGCCACCCCTCCCTCATTTACAGTCACAGGACAACCCTGACCTTTTCAAATCCTATGGGGAAGCTCTGCAAAACAGCTAAAATGAAGGAGTATTTCCTTAGCAACGTCAGGTGAAGGCATACTGACTGGGTTGGCAATTGGCATGTACTTTTAGTCTGAATTTATTTTGAAAAACTGTGATATATATGACCTACTGCTTAGCTGAAATAGATGACTTTCAAGCAGCAGCATCAGATGACCACGCTTTCAATAGTGAATGAAAACAAATACACCTTGTCCTAGGGTGACTTTATGATGCTTGTATCCCCAATCATCTGTTCTATTTATGCTGGATGTTAAGTTCTGCACCTTTAAGACAGGTTCTGAGAGCAAAGGGGGAAAACAAGTGCAGAGTTTGTTTTCAGAAGCTGCCCTCACTCCTCCGCATCCCTTCCCAGACTGTGCTATCTGCAGCACCGACAGCAGGAGAGAGATCTCCTTTGCTTTTAGTTAGTTAGTTAGGTTTTTTTAGCTAGCTGAGGCAGAGAAGTTCCATGGACTGTGGTTTTTCTTTTTCTTGGAACTGGTCAGCCCTGCTCTGGACTGAAAACCCAGACAAACACCAGGAGCTCTCATCTATGGCCCACTGGGGCCTGTGATGAGACATTTTCCAGCACTGGAGGGACTGATGAGAGACTGAGAGAGCCCAGCTACACCCCACAGCAAGGATTTTCTGAATTTGCCATCTCTTCAGAACATCAAGAGGTTTTATTGTTTAATATTATTTAATTTTTTTATGCTTGTGAATATTTTGCTTATTAAATAAACAGGTTTTTTACACTTTTCTCCAAGGAAATCATTTCCCAGACCAGTTGGGGTAGAGGCTGTTTGAATCTGCTTTCTAGAGGGACCCTTTTGGAAGTTTCCTCCCAAATTTACCCTAAACCAGAACGTACCCCTACATCATATCTACTTAATATATCCTACACTACCCCAGAATCCTCCTTCACGGTGGTCAGCCTTCCCCAAGAACTGCCCCATGGAAGCTCCCAGATGTGCAGTGGCTTGAAAAGTGTCCTCGCATACATGCCAACCTTCTTTGCACTCTTGTTGGCATCAATTCAAAATTATATCATTGACTAGCTACATTGGGGAAGATGGAATAATCATGACCTCAATCCCACAGCTGAAAAACTTAGAATGAACTGAAAGTTTTATATTAACAAAGGTTTGAAAACATGGCCACATTGAGACAAAAAAAAAAAGGTTTCATCCTTCATTTGTGGAAAGTTTTCTTAAAAGTACATTTAAACTTATATTCATGATCCTGTTAGCACTGATGATTTTAAAGTCTGTGTAATGATTCCAGTGGGGCTGTCTGGAAATGGTGGATACAAGACATCTTCTGTAATCCGCTCAAACTCTAAATGACAATTGAAGTATTTCAATGCAAAATCTTCCCCTCAGACTCCGTGCTGAGGAATTTCAGTCTTTCTTTGAGTGTCTGCATAAATTGCCAATTTATCAAGCAATTACCCACCTGTACTTCCCTGTACTTTCAGTAGCAATTATTTACCTGGGAGCTATGGCACTCAGTTTTCTTAGTTTTCTTAGTTTTTTTCTTAGTTTTCTTGCAACTAATCTGTCTGTCCCTGCCTACATCCCTCCCCTTTTTATGTATTTGCAATTTGAAGACATGATGTAGGAAATAACACAGAGTGAACACAAAGACGTTTTTCTGATGAGTACAGGGAGACATGAAAGCAGCACACAAGTCCTCCAGGTGGGCTGTTTGCAGACACACTGTTCCGTGAATGCAAAGCTTGGATAGAAATCAGACAGAGTGCCACTTGAGGCTGAAGCCCTCTGGTCTCTAGTCTTGGGGCTTTGAGACAAATCATTCAGCTGTGTGACTGATTTGCATCCAAATAATTTTCTATGCATGAACACAGAACCACTTTTTATTAGTCCATCCCTTTTGTTCCTTTGCTTAATGTTCACTTCCCCTCCTCCAACCCCTCTCTTCACTGGTTTAACCCTCTCACACAGAAAAAAAAGTGAAATAAATTACAATTACACAAAGGGAAATGTGTAAGGTTCTGTAAGGATTCAGCATGGAGCCTACTGAAGTGAGCCACTAATGAGTTACGGAAGATTTGCACAAGCCCCAGAAAGAGAAAAAGGAGGAGGGAGAGAGAGTATGCTTATCTGCCTTGGCTGAATGGAAAGGTACCACAAAAGAGGCTCTCCAAATACCCTTTGGAAAATGGGAAGTTAGCCCAACATAAGCTAGTGGTAAGGAACAATAATGTAAGACAAAAGATGAAGATGGTTTAGCTGAGGGATTTGGTGGGGAGATTAGCCAAAGGCATAACATGAAAATAAATAAGAAGAAATTACTTAATTATAAGAGGTGTAAGCAGGCTGTGAGAGAACCATAAGGCTCAGTGGAGTACCAGGGTGCAATGGGAACAATTAATGAGGATAAAGACATTGCAAGGAAATTAAATGATCTATTTGCATGTATCTGCCATCAGTCATTTTGAAGAGATCCACGGATAACAAAGCTGAGGGACTATTGGAAAATACAGGGTCAACTAAGACATACGGGAAAAAGTGATACATTTTGGAGAAGACAGCATCAGTAAAGGCTTTTGACATTAATCTTTCTGAAAGCTAAGCACAGGCTCTGTTTTGGGCATGCTAGTGAAATTAATTGGATTATTCAGATAGTTAAAAGTACAAATGTACAGAAGTACTGGCAGCTGAAGCCATTAAGATTGTCTGGTAGTAAGCAAAAAACAAACGTCGCTACAAATCCTGACTGTCCCACAAGACAGCAGACTCAAAAAGTTTGGACCAGTGCCGCTATCTTGGCAGTTGCAGATAATTCAGCTTAACATTCCTAAGTTAATATGCAGTAAGAGCCTCTCTCCTCTAAGACTAAAAAAAGATCGCCAAAGCTCTATAATATTTGGCTAGCTGCAAACATGGCATAGATACAAATCAGGTAAAAGACTGCATCTTGCTTTGTTCCCTCCATACACAAAAAATCACCAAGAGAGCAAAAATGCATATTTTGCTTCTAAGTGGGGAGAACTGACAGTGCCCTGCAAGGAGGATTCCCACTGGGAATAAAACACAGAAGAGGAAGCAGACAGAAAGATCAGAAACACATCTTCAGGTTGCCCCAAATTACTCGACCTAATCCAAGTTCAAGAAGCTGGTTGCATCTCAAATCCTGTGTTTAGTTTTGGGCCCCTCACTACAAGAAGGACACTGAGGTGTGGAGCAGGACTATAAAAGGGTAAGGAGCTGGTGAAGTGTCTGGACCACAAGTCTTGTGAGAAGTGGCTGAGGGAGATGAAGGCATTTAGCCTGGAGAAAAGATAGCTCATGGGAGATCTTACCATCCTCTACAACTACCTGAAAAAAGGTGTCAAGGTGAGGGTCAGTCTCTTCTCTCAGGTAACAAGTGACAGGACAAGGGGAAATGGCCTTAATTTGTTTCAGGAGAGGTTTAGATTGGATAGCAGGAAAAGCTTTTTCACTGAAA